CGACAAAATTGATTTGGTGAATCACCTTGAAATTGTTGGCGCAATAGGTCATGATCTGTTCCATTGATACGTTGGTATATTGAAATGTTTGAACTGGAAAGAATTACAGGATAAGTGAATGATAAATAAAGTTGGTTTGTAGATTCGTTTACTCGGGATCCTAATACTGGGTTTGTTGATGATATGATCGGATTATTGAATTTATAATCTTTATTTAACAAAATTATAGAAATTGATTAAAAGCATTAAAATCAGAATATATATTCAGTCACAATATAATAAAAATGATAACAAATAAATATTCTCAAAGAGCGGAATACCATTCCCTAAATATTATTTTTTACCTTGGCTTGTAAATTTAGATGAATCATCACATGTCACTTTCCAAATTGAATTATTTTGATTTTCCACTGCAACAATTGAATTATTTGCAAGAAGAACATAAGTACTTTTATACATGGGATCACTTAAAGGTTGTGGTAATGACCAGTTTCCATATAAATCTCCATTTTTATCGAGAATATAACCATAAAGAAGATTTTTTTCATATACTATCATTAGATAACCACCGAATTGAAGAGGTAGGAGAATATACCCATAATTATAGCTATTTCTCATATCCCCTATTTTTGTTACAGATCTATAATTTAAAAAATAATTAATAATTTACCATTATAATATATTATTTCTAACGATATTTTAATTACCCGGAAGATAGATAAGATATTTTCAGGAGGAGATGTTGAATAGGTTGTGAAGTTGTATTATATTTATTCTTAGTCTTTTTGGTAATAGTAAATTGTGAATCCAATAATAACAAACATATATTTCCGGCACCGCTAAAATCAACTCTACATATAATTCCTTGTAATGTTAAAGTTTGAATTAACATTTGAGTATTATTCGACTTTAAGATTCTTGTGGGAATTTGATATAACAAGAATGGCCCTGTTCGTGTGTTTTTTTCAAAATAATAAAATACTACGTATACTCCATTAGTTGTACCAATACTGGTGTCTGCAATGGAATTATTAAGTTGAGTCGGAGAATCGTCTCCTCCGTAAGCTATGGCAAATCCCTTTTCTAACACATAAAAACTTGATGTTGTTATAAGTTTAATATTTGTTTGGATTATTCCACTTCTAGCTATTTCGATGACTTCTCCATTTTTGTTTCTATGATTAAAGTATATATTAAAGTATACATTATTGCTATGTTGACGATTTATTTCGTATTATTGTCAGGGTCCAAGGTGGTAATTATGTTTTGTGCAATACTAGATATGGTACTATGTGTTCACCGATTAGAGTTTGTAATCAAGCTAGTTCCCAATTCTAAATTTAATAACTAATTATTTCACTGATAGTTCATAGAATATTTCAGTCTATAGAATGACTTGGTAAATGATTATAAATGAATTAATGCGTCAGTGAAATTGATCAAAATAAATTACTATGTTCTACCCGTAATTATCTTCGACCCTGACAATTAATTATTATATTTATTAATGTTAAATAGTTATTCAATACATACGGAGCGCTAAAATGTACCCAGCTTATTACAGTCACACCGCAACAGTAATATAAAAATCCATCTTTTGAACTGGACTTCGGGATGACAAACCAATAACCCTGTATGCCTCCATAATCTATAAGGGCATCGTGCAATTTCACTGTACTGTAACATATAATCCGATTATTAAGACATTATTATCAGCATTTATAATATTT